TGTCAAGCGTTAGACCGTTTGGCCACGACAGAGGTAAGTTTACGAGAGCAACCCGCTGCTTTCCTGACATGTCCGCCCTTTCAATCTTTGCGTGGTAACCCCAATCAGTCCAATACATGATTCTGTCAAAACAAGATATGTATATAGGACTGTAAGGATTTTTTTCATTTCTTCTGGACCTTACAACCCTTTTCCGTTATTTGATGTCGTGATTATTTCGTACAACCACTCTTAGTCTTTGCAATGCAGTCTGACGTTGCGTCAACTTTTAAGAGCGGATGTCAGTAAATATCGACCAGAGGTCTACAAAAGTGAAAAATCGAAAATTCTCAAAAAAATTCACAAAGTAGCACTAGGTAACCTATTAACATAAATGTAATTTTTACTTCGATCCGATAATTATTTTCCACGTACGGGGGGGTATTGGTTTGGCGGCTCGCGGACCGGGTTTTCCAGGCCCGAGACCATGTGTCACAAAAAAATCGTTTTAAAATTCAAATCCATTGTAATGCGGACAACAAATAACTTATTCAGAAGAGTACTTAATTGCACACATTCTAAGTGGTGATTTACTCAGTTTGAACGAAAGTGTAATATTTTGGAGATTTTTCATTATTTTCAATATTTTGAACGTTTTCGTTCAATGAAAAAGTGGCAAATTTCAAAGCCCAAAATCGTCGACTGGTACCTCGAATTCACTAACGAGTCTTATACCACGTTAAAGAGCGTTATCTCTTCTTTCAAAATCTGTTTTCAAAACTACGGGCAACTTAAAAGAAAATTTTTGAGGCCAAAAAATACAAGTAGTACTTTTCTGAAATTTGAGCTTTCCAGACGCGGCGGGCCGATGCTAAAAACTTGGAAAAATACAGTAAGAAATCAGTTTGAGCAATACTGGTTTCATGTTATCAGCTTTCAGAAACCAAGACGTGTTTATACAGCGATCTGATATAAATTAATGCCGTTTGCTATCAGAAAGGCAGATTTAAGCTGTCAACTCCTGCCAAGTGCACCAGTCACGTGAAGTTGTCAAAGGGAGGGCAAAGCACTAATATTAAAAAGTCTTAAAATTCAAAACGTTTTACGTCCATGAAATCAGATTTTAGAGTACAAAACAATGTTGTGAATGTCTGTTGTTCGTACCTTAGCATGGTGTTTCCATATATTGGAAATGTCAAGTATCCACACGGGAGAACATACCAAACAACAACGTTTCAAATCCAAGCGCCGAAAGATCGTAAACGGCAAAGATTGCGTTACATTTCACAGAACGACCGCTTACCACTGTTGTCACTCCTTTTTTCGCTGGAGGCTACGAGGAGTTTTCATTCCGTCATGAGTGATTCTTGATCAGCCTTTATTAAAGGTGGGGTTAACGGTTGTAAGCAAAAGCATTTTTGCTGTTTATGAAATGACACAACCTCTAAAATTCTTTAATTCTGTCGGCTTGTTATGTTCATTGACATCAACCGTTTATCATTAATTCAGCTATTAAAAATCAAGCTTGTAGTACCTCCGACTTTAGTTTACAAATGACTCTTTTTACCCCTTTTTGTCACATTATTTTTGACCGACCAAAGCACCACACATTGACGTAATTGTGCCCTACTTCGTCTACTCCGAAGACAGGTCGTGGAGAAAACAACGCGTTCACGCTTTACATCATCAAGCTTGCTATATAAATAAATCATCCAAGATTCGGTTCTGCAATTAATGTCGTCGCTTCTCTGGAAACCGATTCTTTTTAGTTATGTTTATTTCATTCTATTTTTTTTCCTCAACGTTTTCGGGAACGCAAGTGCAAACCGTGCGTACAAGTAGCTACGCCCCTGTTTAGTCTCCTTAGCCCTGAGCGTTCCTCTCTTGCGGCTTTCGCGGGAGTTCAGGATGTGGTCCACCCAGTATTTCACGTCTCTTTTAAATGAGAGGCAGCACTTCTTGTTTACCGTTTCGTTATCAGACAGCGCTTAGGCTCTTAGCCTTTCATTTACTTTTGATCAAATTTTTATCATTTAGTTACTCAGTATACGTTCGATCCTGTCCTTGTAAACTTATACTTTTATACTTTAAGGGAGCTTAATACCTATATTAATTTTTTCTTCGTTTAGTGTCGTCCAAAAGACCCAGTTTTTTGGCATTTTTTTAAAAAGCAAGAAAAAGAAACGACAAGGTTTATTTTTTTTGGACTTAGATTAATTCTTTTAATCTAAAAAATTAGCATTATAACATCATTTCGAGGCATAAAACGTTCGGTGGTGTATCCTCTTTACTTTTTACCCTTTTTGGGCCTTTTTTATGAAATTGACCATCACATTTTCTGCCATATTGAGTTTGTGTCGATTTGGTGACCATGTCTTGTTGTTTTCAGTCTCCACGACAATGATGCTGGTGTTTCAGGCCTCCCGTTCTCAGATTTCTTGTGATTTTTTTCTCACCCCACCGACCGACCCACCAAAAACCAGGAAACCTATTCGACGCTAAACGAACGAAAAGGGGATGA